AATATTATTTCCTTCTTGGGTCTCTGAGGGAGTTGAAGATTAGTTAGTTATAGTTGAAGATTAATTAGGATAGAACGTGAATTAGATACATTTTAGACTTAGCACAATAGGATAGATAATGGAATTATTTTCTCTGAATTTGTCAAATACAAATGGACTAGACATTGTTTAGGTATTTATTACTTGTTTATATTGTATATAGTTATTGTGCTTTTGTACATAGTTTTTCTTATGTTAGTTATAAGCTTTTTCATTTTTGTTTTTATTAAAATAGAAAAGTGGAAATATGGTGATATTTTATTTGTACTAAAATGTTATTTGTATGTTAATAAATAAAGTTGCCCGGGGGTCAGAGCTTTAGCAAGCCATAGGGAAAGCTGGGCAGTAGTGGTGTATGACTTTAATCCCAGCACTTGGTAGGCAGAGCTAGGTAGATCTCTGTGTGTTCAGGGATACAGCCAGCATTGGAAATACATGTCTTAAATCTCAATACCAACCATAGGAGACCTGGAGGTCTGTACAGACAGGCAGTGATGAGGCGGTCGTGTGGTTGGGTTTACAACCAATGAGAAGGCAGAAACGAAAGTCTTTATAAAGACTTTAACAGAGGAAGTAGCTCTCTTTGGGAGAGGTAGGACCACTGCAGGGGAAGGGGAAGGTTTTAGCTCTTAGCTCTGACCTCTTGGCTTTCTTCTTTGCATTGGTTCTGTGTTTCTTATTTAATAAGACGGTTGTTACATCTACAGGCGTGCCCCTCCATTTTGGGGTTTTAGTGAATTCCAGATGTAATAAATTTGACAAACAAAAATAGCTATCACATCTGCACCCTTGTCAACTTGACATACAATTATATCTATTATGCCATGATTAATTTCCAAAAGTAAAATAATAACCAGGTCTTAATATTGCCTAAACATGATATAATTATTCCAAGTACAATGTAAGCACATTATGTATTAGACCAGTTCAAAATTATGCCATCTCATGGTGGCAGCGGCATCTCTTAGCTCAACTTTCCACTCCCAGCATTCTCCTCTCTGCTTATCCAGCCAATACTATACTTCCTGTCTAGTTACTGTCCAATCAGCGTTTATTTATCAATCACTCAGAGCAACACAGTCACAGCATATAGAAAGACATCCCCAGCAATCCCTGTACAACTGACAACACATTATAAAGTTAGAATAAGTGGCAATGTCCCTGGAGGGATATGCTTTCAGTATCTCAAATTTAAAATATATTAAACTACCGAAATGATATGCAGGTATAGAAAAAATTATCGAAGTAAGTTTTAATATTCATTTCTAGATACTGATAGAAAAATTTATTTCCCATGTCTGCTTTTTGAAAGTTACATGTTACATATTTTCTAATAAGGCAAATGCAGTGTATCAGTTGTGAATTAAAAAAATGATGCCTTTCAAAAAAAATATAACAGGCACTCGGATTTGAAGGCAGCAAAGAGCCAACACAGCAATCCAAGCACTCAGAAAGTTCTGCTGCCTCCTTGGCTGGTGTCTGGGAATTGGGATTTCAGTTCATCTTTATATTAATATACACATGTATATGCAGTTAGATGTGGTTGTATACACTATGTATACCATATAGATACTTACAAAAGTATCAACATAACTATACTCATAGCTATGCATACCATACACATGCATGCCAATACCACAAAGTTTGTGTGTTTCTTTTTGATTTTTTATTATGCCAATTTATTGTACATTTAATTTAATTTCAAAGTATATTATGTGTGTGTGTGTGCACATGCAATTGTGTAGACAAACACATGTTCTTAAATGTATGAAATGGACACATATTGGTGTGTGTTGTATGGAAACAAGCATATGTGTATTTTGGCACAACATGATGGTACCCTCATCCTTTATGATGGCCTAGTTGCACTATTACAGTGAGGTGGGGCATGCTTGATCATGCTTCATTCTGTGCATGGTTACAAATACTAGCCATCATTTAAGTGAATTGGTTACAAATTATTATTGGTTAAGATAAGAAAAAACTGAATCAAATTTCAAGCAGAGGATAAATCAATGAATTAAATAGAAAAAAAGGTATTTTAAGATGTAATATGTTTATAAAAATTTAAAGGCTTAAGTATGTCATGAAAGACTGAATATGTTCTATATTGGATCTGAGGAAGTAGTTTAAGATATAAATATATGGAACTTTAAAGCTTAAATAAAATTTGAATACAAATAAAGTTTATATGGGATGCTGTGGGATGTTCTGTATGTCCTGTGGCAGCCCGTTCTCAGGTTGTTCATGGCTTTACCCAGCAGGTCCGCATAGAGGATGATTAGGACCACAGGCCTGAGTGCAGGTGTCTGAGATGGTCTGCACCTGGCTGTGCTGGGGGATGGTCTGTATATCAAGTTGTTCTGATTGGTCAATAAATAAAACACTGATTGGCCAGTGGCTAGGCAGGAAGTATAGGCGGGACTAACAGAAAGGAGAAATAAAAGAACAGGAAGGCAGAAGAAGTCACTGCCAGCCACCACCCTGACAAGCAGCATGAAAAGATGCCGGTAAGCCACAAGCCGCGTGGCAGGGTATAGATTTGAGGAAATAGATTAATTTAAGCCATAAGAACAGTTAGCAAGAAGGCTGCCACGGCCATACAGTTTGAAAGCAATATAAGTCTCTGTGTTTACTTGGTTGTGTCTGAGTGGCTGTGTGACTGATGGGTGATAAAGATTTGTCCTGACTGTGGGCCAGGCAGGAAAACTCTAGCTTCAATGGGTCTAAGATGTAATGGTTTAAGGTATGGCAATATAAAAAGAATATTTTGGGAAGAAGGAAAATATATGAAATGCAACTTCATTTAGATAAAGTTTCTAATGAAGCAGAGGACTAGCTTTCTGACTTTGGAAGGAGGATCTTCCTAAAGGCTTCCATTGTGACCACAGAGGCTCATGAAAATGGCACCTTGGTTTCAAGTCACTTTTGGGTGAGGTATGTATCAGGGATGAAATAGGTATGCCATGTGACATCAGCACATGGACATTCTACTGTCTCCTGGAGAGCCCTGGCATTCCATGTGATGTCACCAGTGTTGTGGCAACACCAACTGTCATTGGGGCATTGGTGCAGTGTCTCTCGTGGTTCACCGACAGACATGCTGACTAGAATGAACAGGATTCTTGGGAGACAGGATGGCGAGCACAGGGAGATCAGAGGGAGGCAGAAGGAAGATGACCTTCAGTCTCCATGTCACACATCAAGAAACAAATGGTTCTGGAGAAAGCACAGTGAGTCCTGGGAAAGGGAAGGGAGCTTCCTGAAGGAGGAAGGCTTCAGCTGATTCTTCCAGGAGTGGGGCTCAGGAGGGGAGAGTTTCTGAGAAGCAATGGGCCTATTCTGGTCCTCTGAGTTCTTCAAGAGCAGACCCAGAGATGAGTATTTCCCATGGTTAGTTTGCCAGAAAGTCAGGGATGGTCAAGGCTGAAGCTGCTCTGTTGAGGGCACTCTACTTTCACTCTGAGTGGGAAGGAAGCACAGAGGGACTAAAGAGGTTTCAGTTCCAGCCCTGCACTTCACCCACACTGGATTTCTTTTGGTGCGTGTCACTAATAACAGGGAGAGTAAAGTCCCCTGGCCAGAGCTAGAGAGTCTTACATTTTAAATAACAACCACTGGCAGGGCAGGAGCCACCAAGTATTTCCGCATGTCATTGACCCCTAAGGTTTCTGAGTTTCTGCCCTCTCACTAGCCAGTCATCTTTCCTCTACCTTGAGTGCAGGACTTGGCCATGACTCTTCCTGTAAGTATTTGTTCTTGGTGACTGAGGGCTCACGTGGGGATGCCCAGTCCTTAATTATTTTCAGTCACACCTATCAGTAGTTGATAACACTTTTGCTAACTTCATGATGGTTCAAATGGATTCTGCTGAAGGTGTTGGCAAAAGTTCCATCATTTCTAATATGACTTATCATTGTTCTGACAGGACCCACATAATCATCCACCATTCCCATACATTGAAACTGCCCCGTGGATCTTCTCTAATGTGCTTATTCATCTCATGGAACTGATCTTCCTTCCCCATTATCCTGAGCTAATTTCTTAGCATCTTTAATTTCTCATCTTATTAGCTTGCGATTACAAGAATGAGAAGAGCCATTTCTGGGCAGTGTTTGGAAATGACCCTAGCTCTCCACACATGATGAACTGTTGAATTAGAATGAACTAGATTCTAATGAATCAGAGAGATCTCAGGATTGGAAGGAGGAGGTGCTGAAGGCCTTCCCCTGTGTCTCAGGAAAGTTTCCTGGGAAGGGCAGCTTGGCTTTTGGTGAATCGGGGAAGAGCTTGTTATCAGATAGGTGATGACCATTGGCAGTGGCCCTAACAGTCCATAATCTGGAAATTCTATTGTATCCTGGAGAGCCCTTGGCATCTTCTGTGAAATCACCAGAGCCCGGGCAATGCCAACTGTCCTTGAGGCATTCACTAAGTAATTATAGAGTTCACCAAATTGACATGTTGGCAAGACTGATCACACTGATTGGCAGAGAGAGCCCTAGTTTCCTAAGGAGCAGGTGAGGCTAGAACTGGACCTTCTAGAATTGGGGATCATGAAGCAATGGGCCTATGCTGCTTATCCGGGTTCCTAAAGAGCAGATTCAAGGTGGTGGATTTCTTATGGTTCAGTGGCAGAGGGCCAGGAATGGTCAAGGCTGCAGCTGCTGTGCAGGAACCTCCTTCAGTTCATTCTGAGTGGCAAAGAATGCAACAGGAGGCAAAGAATGCAACAGGAGGCCCAGAACCACTAATGCTCTATCAGAATGGGATGTTGTTGCACTTTATGTCTGATGTAAATACCAAGGAGGAAAAGTTTCCATCCATGTACACAGGTCTGAGACAATCAGTTCCTTTTAGTCATGGACACAGGTTATGAGGGCTGTTAGGCAAAGAGCAGTAGGGACTCCTGGACTTCCTTGCATCACATCAGGTATGAGATGACAATTCAAAACCACCATGGCTGGCCTTGCTTATGTCTTTCAGGGCCAGTGGGGCTGCAGTAGGGGCTGAGGCATATATCTAGCCATAGTGATTAGAGACAGACACATGGCTTATGAGGCCCAGCTTAAGGAGAGCTGCTCTGATCTTTGTGGGCTTCACTGGGTTCCATGCTTTTCCTCTTCCTCAGGCCTCCTCTTGGGACACCACATGATCTTCTTGGCGTATGCCATTCATCTGTACAAATTCACTTGTGTTTATGTACCTACAGGGACTGCTAGGAAGGCATCATCCACACCCTTCTTCCTCACTGAGCAGGAGCAGCAGCTGAACCAGGTGGGAAAACTGAAACTTCAGCTACAGATGATGACCAATGACAGGAATGAACTGTGTGAATTCCTGGCCCATTACAACAATGAGTTGAACAACAGGTATTCATCATGCCCTGTTCTCTGGTGAATGTCTTGACCCAACTGTGTCAATTCCAGCAGTCCTTAGGTGACTGGAAGCTGCACCTGCATGGTGACCTGCACAAGCAAATTTTCCTGAATGCATCTGAGAGGCAGAACTGAAGCCTGTAGGAGTGAGATGGGACACAGGCTGTTCTGATTCTTCCTAATGAAAACCAGAGCCTGTGGCCTGAAAAACAATCCACAGAGACAGGCAGTAGGGTGTAAAATCACAACATGCATTTCAACAGGCCTTGACAGGTGTTGGCTTGTAGGAGATCCTGGGTGCTCTGAGTTTAACCCGAGTCTCTGTATTTGACAACATATTTATTTTTGCTTGTTGCTCTGGGAGCAGATTGAAAGGCCTGGTGATCCTTGTTGCTCCATCTGTGTGTGAAAGGAAGGCTTGGAGTCCATCCCAGCTCCTCACTGGTCTTGTTGCTTGTACTGTGAGACAATGCCACCCACCTGCATTTCTCTGACATCTTAATTGTGTATGGGTTTGTTTGCATGTGAATTGCCCTATTAGGGGCCCAAATATCACAAACATGGTAGTGGCAGGTTTTGCCCTTTTCACCTCCCTCTCCCTTGATAAACCATTAGATTACATTCCTTAATTTAGTCCCGAAAGTTCATTCCCTTTTGTGGACATTGACTCATTCTTGAAACTAAACACCAAAGTCCAACAATCAAAATTCATTACTCAGCTACACTTGCCAACCTGTCCAATCAGATCTCAGCAACTCACCCTAGAACAGACTTAACCTTTCTATTTAAAATCCCACTGCTGTAAAAAGCCTGCTGCGTGTTGTCTGCCTTTGCCTGACCCAGAGGCAGCCTCCCAATGCCATGCTTGCCCTACTGGGGAAATGTATCTCCATGTGTTCTGTACTGTCTCTGAGAGGCTCCCTTAAAGTGTGTGTGTGTGTGTGTGTGTGTGTGTGTGTGTGTGTGTGTGTGTGTCCCTTCAGGTCTTTTGAGTTAGATAATGATAATAGGCCTGAGGATTTGCCTGATTCAAAGATTTCAGGTGATATAAGTGCTGAGACCCTGGAGCTCCACTTTGAGCATCACTGTACTCAGTCTTTGTGCTTACCCTGGTGCCCCATTTGAATCCCCTTGTGAGTTTATAAAGCCATCCTCATGGAGTGCCTCATGCATGGCAATACTGATGATGAGTTCTGGGTATCCTTGTAAGGACAAAGCATTTCTGTTCTCACAACAGTGGAAATGTCATCACAGATTTCAGGTAGGCCCACATTGGTGACCTTCTTAGAGTGCTAGTCTACCTCTCCAGGCATACTGAGGGAGATCATGGAGCCCTGTCTCCCTCCCTGTTGACACCCAGCCTTTCCTGGCCCTGGGGAAGGATAGCAAGTCTAATGCACATCAGGAGTTCCCCATACATAGGTTTCAGGGTGTGACATCCAGTAGGCTAGGGTAGTGCAAAATACAACCTTAATTCATAGGGTCCCTGAGGCCTGTGTTCACAGGGTTCTTTGTTCCTGGGGCAATTCCCTACCACATTCTGAATTCAGAGCATGAGATTCAGAACACAGAGCATAAGAAGGTGATGTCAGATGTCAAGAATTTACCCAAGGCGATTAGTGAGGCCTTGTACAAGTGCACAGAGCTGAGTGAGAAGACAAAAACCTACCGGTGAGTGCCTGACTTGGGTGGACTCCAGAACTTGGTAAGGACTGCTTCTTGTTGTCTGAAGTTTCTCCAGTCCTGCTTGACCCTGCTGTCAGGAGGAATGTGTCCCTCCTGCCTCTTGCAACCAAATGACCCAAATAAACACACAGAGGCACACATTACTTACAAACAGTATGGCCAATGGCTTAAGTTTCAGGCTAGCTAGCTCTATCATCTTAAATTAATCCAATTCTATTCATCTGTGTTTTCCCTCATGGCTGCTGCATTGCCAGGCTGCTGGCATGTTGCTCCTTGGGTGGCAGCTGGCATCTCCTCCACCTCTGCCTTTCTTCTCTGTCTCTCCTGGACTTTCCTGCCTGGCTCCATCCTGCCTTGCCATAGGCCAAAGCAGCTTATTTATTAACCAGTGGGAGCAATACATATTCATGGCATACAGAAAGACATCCCACAGCATCTTCCTCCCTTCTCTACCTTTGAACCAAAGTGAGGGCTGTGGTTCTAGTCTGTTTACCTCTTAGCAAGCAGCCTGCCTTATAGGTCTTGGACTTGTGCCTCCTAGATTGATTTCTCCTAAGTGGTAAGAGTCTGAGAGCCCCTCCCAACATTTTCCTGTCAGCTTCTGAGATTTCTGGACAGAAAACATGGTTTGCACCATGGTTTCTGTGGCTCTGACAGGAGCTTACAGAGCTGGTTTCTATGAGACACATGGATGGAAAGTATTCCCGATAGGTCTTCTGTCTCCCTCAGAGCATGGTTTCCCTCTACCTACTCATGTTTTCCCAATACTGTGAACAGTTAAGCACCAGGGTGTGTGTGCAGGAGGTAGCACATCCAGTCTTCAGAGGTACATGGATCACTTTTGCTGTCAGGGTATTCAGAAGTAGTGTAAATCTTTCTGGAATTTGGTATTCTCTGGCTTCGGCCTGCACCTGAGTGATGCTGCCATGGCTAATGAGGGCTCCAGCCCAGGGCTGTTGGGGATGGGGACATGGGATCTTGCAGGAATCATGGTATTAGGAGGCAGGAGTGGAAGATGGAGGCGGAGCTCATCATTTTTGGTGATTTTCAGCACCCTCTATAGTCAGCACCTGAGTGAACAGACTCAGCTGAAGGAAAAAGTCAGAATGTTGCTAGAGGACAAGAAAAAGCTGCAGGGGGAGCAGATTTTACTACAAGAGTCCTGTGAGGAGGCAAAGAGGCTCTATGAGGAGGCCCATGGGAAGATCTATCACCTCTGGACAATTAGCTGCAGGTAGGTTGAAGCAGCAAGGCCAACCTGGCTACCTGTCTGACCATACACACACATATACACACAAACTCATGTAACCATCTACTCACTTATCCAACTGACCCATCCCATCCAATAGTTAGTTCACTTCTGTGATCATTCACAAGTCTTTCTGGGAGTTAGCCTCTTAGAGCAAGCAAATCCTACTGCTCTGCTGGAAGCTGCAGCCTACTGAGGGAGAGGAATAAGTCACATATCACTCACCTGTATGTCAGTATGGGAGGAGCCTAGTGAGTCAGAGTGAGTGAGCCTGAGTGAGTCAGGTCAAGGGTCTGGGTCTCATTTGCTTGGCAGGGGTCATGTGAGACCAGAGCAGACACAGAATGAAAGGAGGAACGCCCCCTGAAAAAGCCAAATGACCGGATCTCATAGAAATCTTTTTGGGTGTCATATGGCATTTTACCCTCTTGTGCCCAGACTGCCATGGTGTTCTCTTTACCTGGCCAAGCTCTTGGTTCACACTGACAGACACTAAATTAACAGCTTGTCAGTACTGTTTGCTGTGAGTGGCATTGGCCAGTTCTCCCATCCTGGATCTTACATTCAGAAGCTCACTGGATGACCAGGGATGTGGCAAGGGCTTATGACAGGCAGGGGTCAGGGTGGCCGATTTGAGCCAATTGCATCAACGTAGCCTGCAGAGATACAGCATGCTTCCCCGGGTATTTTTAGTCCAAAATGATACAGAATTGTGGGACTCACTTATAACAGCTAGTGTGAAGAATCTAAAACCAACTGGTAATGTCATCCTTGTCCAGTGTGATGTCCTCCTCATTGTATTCTGATCACTGATGATTTGAGGGATTTGTGTCTGTGTGTGAGTATGCCTGCCATAGGGTGCATATATCTGTGAGTGTTTTGGAAGGTCTGATGATGACATCGAGTGTCCTCTGTTGTTTTCTCTCTTATTCCCTTCATCCTGAGTCTCTCACTGAACCTGAAAGTTTCTGTTCTGGCTAAGCTGGATAGCTACAGATCTTTGAATCTCCTGTCTCCTCACATTAGAGCATCCTGTCTTTTTCTGTCTCATTTCATTGCTAAATGGTTCATTTCCTCAGAAAGAGAACTGACTTGTTTGTTTCTCTTAATTTGTAAACATTTTTATTACTTTGGAATTAATGCTTCTTATAATAAATAACAAAAATCAAAAATGGAGCTACTTTAAAAATAAAAAAGTAGACTTCTTTTCTTTCACAGCATAGAGGTAACTTCCCAGGAAAGGTCTGTTTGTCTACCGGCTTCACAACATGAAACCTGACATTTTGAAACTCACACTTAGAACAGAGTCCGACTCATAGTTGTATAGAGTTCTGCATTTTAGAAAAGTGCTGTGGATGACCTAAGTATCCTGCCACTGACTGACCTGGGGCTGTTTTCATATAATGTGCACTGTAATCTCGTCAAAAGTTGTTGGATAATGACAATGGGTGACTTCATTCTCTGGTGCTGTCAATGTCTTCTGTGGAGGAGTCTGGGTAAGTTTAGTGAGGAGACTATGATGGTTCAACTTAAATCTATTGGGAGGTTTCATGTCCCACCCTCTTCCCCAGCACTTGGTTTTGTGTGCTCCAACTCAGTTGTGCAGAGGTTGTTACTTCTCTGTATGATCATTGAGTCTGTTGATAAGAACTTCCTGGGAAGGGAAATAAGTTCAGGCCAGGGCAGAAGAGCTTGGCTGTGTCTAAGAGGCTTGTAGACAGCAGGGAGGACCCACTACCTCCCCCTGGATTAGAAAAGGTGCTGCAACATTCTAGTCTTCTACCTTGCCTTTCTGGATTCAAGAAAGGTGTGTGTGTGCGTGTGTGTGTGTGTGTGTTGTCTCTATGTGTATCTTTGGGGAATGAGAACATGTGTTTGAGCCTCTATGTGTATGTTCACTCTATCATGGAACAATGGAACATCTTTAAGAATGATGGAGATGGATTTCAATGAGAAAGTACTGTGTTAGTACCACTTTGCCTCCGTCAAAGAACAGATGGAGTTGTCCATCCTTCTGCATGTCCACACAGCTAAACAACCAAAGGCCACATATCTCATGTAAGCTAAAAGTTTTTCATGTATTTGTAGAGGCAGAATTATTTATCTGCAAAAAAATCCTCTGGAGAAAAACAAAGGAATGGGGTATATGACAATGAGAAAGAGGCTACTGAGAGGCAGGAAAGGCTGCCTGAGGGTTTGTGTCCTTCTCTGCTCTGGGTGAAAGGTGGCTGGTGACTGATGACTTCCCTGCATCCTGTTTTGTTTTTCTCCTCATTGCCTGCTGCCATTTTCCTTTCACCTTTGCCTAACCTTGGTTCAGCTAACCTGGTCCTAGGAGCTTGGCCTGGACTTTATTCTCAGAGAAATTCTGAACTGCAGAGGGGCTTGTGGCTGTATCCCAGCCCAGCAGAAGACCCACAGCTATGCTGAGGTGTGAGGAGAGGTTGTCTTAGGGCACTACTTAGGCTCACCATACTCTCAAGTACCCACTCCATGTTGTGTCTGCAGCACTCAGAAACTGCTTTTATTCCAAACTTCTTCATACTGAGTTTAAATCAACCTGATTGAGAGTTGGGAGAAATGAGAACTCTCAGACGTTGCTAGTACTGTAAAATATTGCACCCCTGTGAATTATGTGCAATTATTCAGAAAGTGTAACTGCAGTCTTTGGGTGAAGCATTGATTCCAGAATGGAAAGTGGTGTCCACAGATAATAGGGGACAGGATAACACAGATAACAGGGATACAGCAGGACTCCTCAGAACACCCCAGCTAGAAACTATTCAGATACCCATCACTGATGAGTGCAAACATACAATGTGGTCCATGGGATATTGTTAAGTGTGGAATAATATATGCAATCATTTGTCCATGAGTTTGTCAACCTTCTGTTACTCAAAGAAATCCCTTACACAATCATCTTACTTGGAGGAAAGTTTACTATAGACTCCTAATTGTAGAGATTTTCTAGTTTTCTGAGCTCATTCCTTTGGGCCTAAATTGAGGCAACCTGTGGTACAGAGAGCTTCTTTAGGAGGAAGCTGCCCTCCTTGGAGGCACTGGGAAGCACTGAGTGAGAGCAAGGGGCTGGTCCACTGCCATCCAGTGGTCCTGTGCTGGGGAACTAAGCCTTCAATGCACAGACTGGGGAACTTGCTGGGAGACTTAGATTACAGATCAAGGAACCCTTGTGTTGTACTGTCTGTGTACAGGTTTTCAAGGCAAGCACTACATTGACTTATCTGCCCACTGAGTTCTTCTCCCAGGTCACCAGGCATGCAAGTGTCACACAGACACATGGGCAGGCTGAACACCTGCACATATAAACTAAAAATAACCTGAAAAATGATCAAAACCAAGTAAAAGTACACAATCTTCTCCACATCCCTGTGTTTCTTGCCTCTGGGCTGGAATATGGGTGGAGAGGGTGTATGTTAATGAAAGGTAACTTTCTTCTCCATAGTATCCCAGGTGATCTCTTCTTACATTAGTTTTCTCAGAAACTAAGTGTGGATGGAATGTAGTGTGCTTTTATGTGTACATGCATATAAATGTGTGTGCTGGAGAGAGAGAGAGAGAGAGAGAGAGAGAGAGAGAGAGAGAGAGAGAGAGAGAACAGAGAGACAGAGAGATTGAGCGCACCAGTGCATCCATGTTTATGTACATGGTGAGGACAACCTCCCCTAAAAAACAACCTTCTTATGAATAGGAACATCAAAGACTTGAGGAAAATCTTCAGTCCCTGCTGAAGCAGAAGGAGCTGTTCACTCGGCAAAGGGACTTGGCAGTAAAGCTGCAGCATCACTTCACTGTGTCCCAGATGAGGTAGGAGCCCAGGCTTCCAGAAGCAGGGGGATCCAAGTGGGTCCGCTGTACCGGGATCTCCGTGCTATTTGAGTTTTGTCAATTGGCAAAGCTGCCAGCCACCCCAGGGAAAGAACCCCTCAGAGTGTCGTTGTTGGCTCAGTCAACAGGAATTACTACCAGGAAACAATACGCTTCTCCTTGGTCTTAGGGGAATGTGTCCCCTTCTTCCCTTCTGAGACCTCTAGTATACTCTGAGTATCTCATCTTTTAGATTAAATCTCCCCCCGAATATTCCGATGGCTGCCAGAAACCTGGAAAGGAGGATCATTGATCATGAAGGAAAGTGTGTCCCCTGCATCTTTTCCATCAGGAACATCACGTTTAGAGAGAAGTGTCCACCCTTTGCAGATTTGCATACAGCACACTCCTGCTGACTGCAGGCTCTCTGCAGTGTTTCTCAGTTTCTCATGAGAAGATTTCCTCTTGGTCATAAACAGAGTAGGAGCTGACAAATTAATCCCATGTAGAGTTCTGAGCTGTAGGAATAACCAGAGGCTTCTTCGCATTGCTGTGTAGGCTCCACGAGAGGGTGGGCAGAGAGTTTTCCAGGAGGTTCGCCTTCACCTGGATCTAACCAAGGCCAGGGATATCTTTCCTGACCTGTATGTACCTCAGACTTTGACATACTGTTATTTCTCCAAAATGATGTCTTTGGACTGTTGGAGAAATATGCTGTTTTTTTCTATTCCAGCAAAGTGTGTATTTTCCAGTTCAACTTCTAGCAGTTTTTAAAAGTTGAGAAAAAAAATCCTGCCCAGGTGCTCTCTGACCCTTTTCCCTTGGGTAAGCAGGGAATGAACTCAGCTGAAAGGTGATGCTTGATTGTCTAGCTGAGTAGAGCTGGTGGGGGCTCAAAGCTGACATGGCAGGTCCCCACCAGGCTTGTGCCCCAGCTGCCTTCCTCCCCTAGGTTTGAAACCCTCCAGCAGGAACTGGAGCAGACCACAGCCCAGGAAGAGAGTCTCCTGCAGATGGAGCTGCTGGTGCAGAAACACTATGTTCCAGGCAAGTAAGCCGCCATTGAGCCCCATCCCCAGCAGCCAGGGTGTTCATGGGGTGTGTTTTCTTCCTTAACTTTTGTTTACTAGGGAAGAATTGGCCCTGATTTTTCTTGCCAGTGGCACAGCAAAACTGTTTCTAAATCCTATTTTCTTTACCAATTTTGCCTAATAACACCTCTTAGGAAAACTGAGAAGGTGGGAAGAAGCCAGAGACACCTTGAAGGCATGACATTCTACACTCCAGGTTCACAGCCTCCTCAGAAAATACCACCTATTTTCAGCTATGAACTCACTAGTGAGGCAAATATCAACCTACCATCAGGCCATCCAGCCACAATCTTATCTACATCCATTGACTCACTATTCCCAGACAAAAGATTGTATCAGAAATAGTCTGAGATTAAGAGGACACAACACAAATTACTAAGACCCCTGACATCCATCAGCATGTGTCCCCAGTGAGGGGCAAAACAACATGGAGAGGACATGTGGGTGAGCAAGTGTTCTTCTGTTGACTATCAAGGACTTTGACAAGCTGACTCCATATGTTATGGAAATCTGACAAGGAAGACTGTGTTAACATCACACTGCCATCCAGACAGACCACACCAAAACCATAAGATTCTCTCTACTGCAGTGCTGAAGCTGATGCCATGTCATGTGCTAGTGTTGCTGAAGATAATTCACTGTAGAGAATAAGCCAGATGCTTACCTCATTTGCTCTTCCATAATGAAATTCCAAAGGATCCTGAAATTTGCTTAATTTTTTTTTTGTTATATGTTGGGATATTTATGCTTTGGATTTTGGTTTCTTCTTTTTGGTTTAAGGTTTTGTTAATTGTTGTTATTTCTTTTATTCTTGTCACTGTTTTAAAAGTTTGCTAAGGCTATACATTGTATATAAGGACTGCTGTTTTGAATGCCCCCATTTAGTAAAATGAATGTACTTTTATGAATAAAATCCAATTTCAAATTTCACTCTGAGACACTTCTTTAGTCAAATGAAGTTTCACGCTCTGTAATCCCATAACTCGCAGGCTTGGATTTATCTCAGTTAGTTCCAGGAATCTTGGGCTGCACAAGGATTTCCCAGCAATGGGTCTCAGGGCTACACAGGAGGATGACACCTTGGATGCTGATGGAATAGCCAACTCCATGCATACCCACTACATAATAGAACAACTAGACACATTGTATCCTTGACGTCATATATTTATTTGCTGGTAAAATGTGCTACACTGTACACACATGTTCACGAAATCATCATGTAGACTAAATTAAAAAAAACATAAGTATATTGCTCTAGGACTCGCAGGAAATAAGAACATTCATTAAAATTGTATAAAAGAAATCAGAAAATGACAAGCAATCTGCCTCTGGTTTTATTGAAATTAACATGAATGATAACCGAGAAGAAGAGATAATTTCCTGCAAGACATGTTGGGATATTTTGTGGTGCTTTTCTTTATACTTATGGGTGTTTGGCCATGTACATGCAATTCCCACAGAGGCCAGGTGAGGACAGATTTCACCTGGAATTTAGGTTAAAGAGGTTTGTTAGCTGTCCTGTGGGTCTTCTGAGACAGCATAAATGCTCTTCATGGATGAGCCATCTCCCCAGTCCCTGCAACTGACCTTGTCCTCCCAGCCATGTGTGCTGTCTTAGGTGGATTGGATCACTCCCCATCAATGTTTCTTGAAACCTGTTGGGACAGGTATGCTAACTGTCTCAGGCTGCCACACATCCATGCAGGGCTCTCATAGGTTCAAGATCCTGCTCCAGTATCACTGACTGTCAGACTGGCACAGATTTGCTAGATCTCTTCTAGGTTGACAACATGTATTAAGACTGTCTGATGAAATGCAGAATTGAGAAGACTGTCCTGGGGTGGAGGTGGGGTGAGGAATCCCTCTTGATGGTCCAGATAAGCAATGTTGGGAGGAACTTCATGACTAGGTGGAGTGGATGGAACCTGCATCAGGGGCCCCATGTCTCTGGTGCACAGTGATTCTGTGCAAGACTAAAAAGGAGAGAGGTCATTGATGCTGCTCTTTTACCACTGCAGATCTCAGATTATGTTGAGAAAGTTCTTCCAGATGACTGATTGAATCTTGTGAAGCTCCTCTGGAATAGATCTGACTCCTGAGACTGAGAGTGAGTCAGAGAGTTCATGTGTAAAAGAAGTTGTCCCGTGGGTCTCCAGACTGGAGCTGTCACATCAAGGGTAAAAAGAATCTTGTGTCCTCTGGTCTTCATGTGGTGGGGCTGTGCCAGGTCTTAGCCCACAGAAGTGAAGACATCTGGTTTTTCATTCCCCACTTAAGCTAGAATCTCTCCATCTCATATAATTACTTGTTTAAATAGATTACTGTGTGTTCCATTTGAGAAATTTCAGACTTGTGTTATTTTACTTTCTTGCCCAGAAGCTATAGAAACCTAGTAGGCTAGCATCAAAGCATCATCTAAAATGTAGGTTAATCTTACACATCTCAGAATGGCTATGATCAAAGACACTGAAGACAGCTTATGTTGGAAAGGATGTGGGCAAGGGAAACACTCCTCCACTGTTGGTGGGAATGCAAACTTGTACAGCCACTCTGGAAATCAGTATGGCGGTTTGTCAGAAAATTGGGAATAAGTCTTCCTCAAGACCCAGTTATACCACTCTTGGGCATATTCCCAAGGAATGCTCAATCTTACCTCAAGGACACATTCTCAAGTATGTTCATAGCAGCACTATTTGTAATAGCCAGAACCTGGAAACAACCTAGATGCCCCTCAACAGAAAAATGGATAATAAAATATGGCACATATACACAGTACTACTCAGCGGTAAAGAACAATGATATCATGAAATTTGTAGGCATGGATGGATCTAGAAAATATCATCTTGAGTAAGGTAACCCAGACTCAGAAGGACAAACATAATATGTACTCACTCGTAAGTGGATACTAAATGGGAGGGAAGGGATGTCCAGACTGCAACCCACAACTCCACAGAGGCTAACTAACAGGGAAAGATCCTAGGAGGGACACATGGATGAGCATGTGAAGGAGAAGTGGATGAGAGCTACATGAGTGGACTGGGTGTGGGGGGGGTGGCAGAGGGCGAGGAGTGGGGGGTGAGAACATAACGAAATGGGAGGGTCAAGCCGGAACAGGGACAGAGTGGGAGGGCAGAGAAGGAGATACCATGATAGATGAGGACATTATGGGAATAGGAAGAGGCAGGGTGCTGGGGAGGCTCTCAAGAATCCACAGGGTTGACCCCACCTGGGTCTGTTAGCAGTGGTCCAGAGGGTTCCTGGACCAGTCTACTCTGGTGACCAGCCTAGCAAATAACCTATCTGTCATCATAGAACCTTTGTCCAGTGACAGATGGAGGCAGATACAGAGATCCACAGCCAGGCACCAGGCTAAGTTCCAAGAATCCAATTGATGAGAGAGGAGACATACTGCAGGCAAAGGATGTCAAGATTATGATGGGAGGATGTGCAGAATCCAATTGATGAGAGAGAGGAGACATACTGCAGGCAAAGGATGTCAAGATTATGATGGGAGGATGTGCAGAGATGACTGGCCACACTAGTGGAAACCCATGAACTGTGGACTGGTGGCTGTGGAGCCCCCATGGGACTGGAC